ATGCACATGGGTAGATTCCCTTGGATGATTGCAAAAACGAGCGAAAATTCATTCAAGGCATTTCTTTCAAATCCCGATAGATTATTTAGAAAAATTCCCGAAAACTCAAGACCATTAATCAAAAAAATGCTCGATGTAAACGTAGAAAATCGAGTTACTATGAAAGATATTTTTGATGATGAATGGTTTAAAGGCATTGAAGTTTGTACTAGTCATGTAACATCAAAAGGACATGAACATAATTTGGTGGAAAGTCGTGAAAGTGAACAGTAAATATTTCGTTTAAAAAAAAAAACACTCATATTACATAGTAAATTTTTGTATATACATATTACATATTTTTCCATTGTAAGATAATAAAAAAAAAAACGTGTTAATTTTACTGATTTGAAATATTTCATACGTATCAGATGTCAATACGTATTTTGTTTTTACATTATTTCATTTATTTTTAAAATGAATAAATTAACTGGTATAATGTTAACAAAGAAAAATCATGTGATTTTCGGGATTTCACAATTTCCGATGTCCTCGGATATTCCGATATTCCGAAATTTCACTATTCAATATTCCTTTTTTATAGACGCTGCATGTAAATCCATGATTGGTTAAGTTCGTAAATTATCGATAAACAACCATAAACTATTTATTATACATATGCTCGTACGTACGTACTTAGTACGTATATGTACGAGATAACAAAGATTTTTGATCTATATTTCATTATATAAAAATGATTTTAAATGACTTAACATTAATAACATTTAGATTGGAATTGATTTTCGGGAGGATCCGGGCGTTTTTTACTAATTATTTTTTTTACTAACGCTAATGATTTTATGATTAATAAGTTCTATCGGAACTCGACTTCCGGGCGATCCCGTTTTTTTTGACTAATTTTGTTTTCGGGTGGATCCCGGTCTTCTTTACTCATTTTGTTATGATTCGGTAATTACGCCGCATTTGTGTAATTTAAGTTGATTATACGTACTGTATGTAATACAGTAACCATTATTTTATTTTTTTTTTGTAAAGTCTTAAAGATAACATCTAACCAATTTTCCCGTGAAAAGATGAGTTAAACGTTATCTATATGATCTTACAATAAGAAATGTCGAAAAAAAATTAAATAGTAAACATAAATGCGCTATAATGTTAGATCAGTAATGAACAATAATAAATATTGTGTTTTCTCGATAATAGATTATCATTACTAAGTCGTAAAAATCAGATTCGCTTTAGTTGGTTTAGTTTGATCTGACTCATATAAATTAATAATGCAATTGCATGTGTATGATTATAAGATGAAAGTAATATCAAGTCGTGTAGTATCATGGATGATTCCATAAAAAATTTAACATATTTATAATACATAATAATAATGCTACGTAGTGAAAAAAATGTATACGTAGTACATAGAATAAATGTTGTGTGACTTCAAAAAATGTGACTAAGAAATTTGACCATGTCTGTTCACTTGACTTGGCAAAAAAAAATTTACAAAGATTGTTACTATTAAAGTTACTCTTAATTTCATTCGCTTGGAAGATGCTTCAATGTACTAAACTTTCTATATAATTTTCTTTTTCGTTATGAAAAGATTGTGCGCCTTTTCAACAAGATCGAGTGTTCACACGTAAATACAAGATCGATTAATAAGCAGTACATTCAATATTATATTTTGTTTAAATTCTTCCACGATCTTTATTTCCCTAAAGGATAAATATCATCTTAATATGTATGGCGTCGTTCTATGGGATTTGATATCTATCCGATAATGACACGAATAACGCCATTAATCGGAGACTACGTATCAGGCTATGGGATTTACCCAATTTACTTTAGCGTTTAGCACATAAGTAAGTAATATATAATCTTGGTTTGTTAATTGTAAATTTTTTGTAATAAATGCAGAATATTTACGTTTACAGTATATACTATATATTTTTATACTTGTAATGGTATTTGTTTTTAATATTTATAAAATTTTTTTTTAAACCTTTTTATATTTTATATTTTTTTAATCTTCAAAGGTGAGGCTATGTCTCTAATATTTTTTATTTTTAAAAAAATTTAAACAGTTAGTTCTATGTAATTTGTATTTTTTTTAAAACCAAGGTTTATATTTTTGTATGCTTTATATTATATATTATACTATATATTATATATTATAATTATAAGAGTATTTTTTTTTGTAATTTTTAAAACAGATCCTGTAATTATATATATATATTGTAATATAGCAATACAGAGTCTTAGTAAAGCTATACTACTTGATTTAACTTGTAAGAGGATTAAGGAATGTGATTGCAAACAAGAAAATAATAAAACCAGAAAGAAACTAAAAGAGACTTTAAAGCAAAACAATAAACTGGAAATAAAGAAAAGAGACAATGGCTCTAATCCTAAAATAAATATTTAAAAAAAAAAAAAATGTGATAGTTCAACTCAATATACCAAAAATAAATACTCAAAGAAGAAAAAAAAGGTGATGGCTTTACTTTAAATACATAATAAAAACACAATAAAAACTTTATTGAATACAATAAAAAGAAAATAGGTGATGGTTAAATTTCTATAAAAATAAATTGTAAATAACAAGGAATTAAAAGTGAATAGAAAACAGTCTGCTTTGCCTTAAAGAAAAAGGATAAATTTTTATATTTTTGAACTATTAGTTAATGACTTAGTTAACAACTTAGTGTTACAAGTTAATTAGTAACTTCAGGATTTTGTAATGTTGGATTAGGATTGGGGTGTATAAGTAACGTGATTTAAACTTGTATGAATTATGTGATTATTGAATTAGTAGATGTATAAAATTAATTTATAGTCTAATTGTATATATTGTATAATATATATAATTTAGATAATAATTTATCTAGCGATAATTTTGTATTTAGGTTTAGCAATCTTAAATAATAAAAAGAATAATAGAGTTTGTTTAGTGAAAAACGTTATAATTAATAAACTGTATGATCATTATTATAAGGTGTTGAAGTAAAAGTACCTAAAATATTACTCTAACCTGTGTGAACAGTCAAACAAGGGAAATTCTAAGTAAAAAAAACAAAGATCTTATATAACTGTAATTGACTACAACACTAGTTAACAACTCAGTTAACAACTCAGTTAATAATCTATTTAATAGCTCAGTTAATGATTCAGTTAATATACCAAATAACAACACAAATAATGTATCAAATAATGTCCTAGTTAATGTATCAGATAATATACCAGTTAATGTATCAGATAATATACCAGTTAACATATTTGTTAATATATTTGTCAAAAATTTTACTATTAAACTAAAGCTAAATATATATATATAATAAATATAAACTATATTAATAAAATATACTAATAAAATTTTTTAAAATATATTAATTGATGATTTGCTAGTTAACTAAAGAAAATCTGCAAATTTTTATAAGTAAATTTTACTATTGAGCCAAATGTGGAGTGCACCAATCTAAAACTTTTTTTCTTACTAAGTAAATTACTTTTGGACTCATAACAAAAGTTGTAAAGCTTATTAAGACTTATAACAAAAGTTGTAAAGCTTATTAAGATGCATCTAATGATGATAAGAACTTTAAAATTGGCCTAGTGGTTCTTAAAAAATCTTTAAAAAATGTTTCACTAACATATAAAATTTTTTTAAAAAAAATTAATTTTTTTTATATGTTGACAAAACATTTTTTAAAGATTTTTCAATAACCACTAGGCTAATTTTAATGTTCTTACTATTATTAAATGCGACTTAATAAACTTTACAACTTCTGTTATAAGCCTAAGAGTGATTTATTTAGTAAAAAAAGTTTTAGATTAGTGTATTTCACATTTAGCTTAATAGTAAAATTTACTTATAAAAATTTGCAGATCTTTTCTGGTTGACTGACAAATCACCAATTAATAAAATCTACTAATATAATACTATTCTCTTTTTGAAAAATTTTGTTTTGCAAAATTTAAAATTCAAAAATTATAAAAAAACTATTGTAGTACAGATACTGCATTTATAATCTGTTGGCAAAGTTTGTAAGTTCATTAGCAGATATTAAACTTACAACTGCTGGCAACAGCCACAGATTATTACTACTTTACTACAATTGATAATATATAAAAATTTTAATTGTTCTATTTTTGATCATTACAATTACTATATTTAGATAATAATTGTTAGAGGTATAAATTTGTGTGATTTAGGATATAAAAGTAGAATTTTAAAATTTTATCGTTAAAATTTCAAAGAGCAAAGATAGTAAATAATAATAATAATAATATAATAATATGAAATAATATTAATAATAATATGCAGAACTATTCCGTCAATTATTTACACAAAACTTAACTAAAAATTCGCCAGTATAAAATCCTTAATAACTCAATATTTTATTAAGATAACTGCTCTTA